GCGGCCGGCTGCGGGGGAGGCCCCCGGGAACGCAGGGCCGAGCGCTCCTTCCCCTCCCGGTGGCACCGGCCTGCCCCGGCTGGGAAACACCTGGGGTGAGGTGGGGGTGTGGTGGGTGCGGGGTTGCCCCTAAACTCGCCTGTGAACCATTTCTGGCCGAGTCGCAGAAGCTTGCCTGCGCGTCACCCTGTCAGCCGATTTTGTCGCTTGGTTTTCTTAAACACGGGAGCGGCTTTTTAAGTGAAGAGCGGGAGAATGAGGAAGTCACCGCTAATTTACTTTTCTTTCATGCCGCAGTCCTGAAGGAAAAAAGATCAGATCAAAAAGCGCGCTCGTGGAGTATTTTCGGAAAACTGGGGAGACGACGCTAAAAGCAGAAGATTTTGATTTTCAAGCTCCTTACCAGAGGCCTACCCGCTCAAGGGCGAAGAGACACAGCACGAAAGCTGCGAGAACCGTTCCAGAGAACGAGGATTGTCACGGCCAAGTGCAAGGCCACGGTATACGAAATGGCGAAGAGGATGGAGTTCAAAACGTTCAGACTGGAAACGAACACCTGGAAGATGTTACGTCCACTCTGGAAAGCAAAGATTTGGTCATGACAGGCATAAATCCAGAGGACTGTTTGAAAACCACAAAAAAGGGGGCAGGTAGAAAAAGCACTCGGAGAAGGGAAACTGGAAGGAGCTCAGACAAGGGGAGTCGAGAGAATGCCCAAAGCAAAAGGCAGAGAAGAGCGTGTAACAAACGGGAAACTGAGTGCGTTCAAAACAAGAAATTCTGCAGACAGACAGACATGCGTGTCGCTGCTGGTCAGGGCGTGGATGATCAGCGTGCAGACCCTAGGGGTGCAGGAAGAACTCTGCTCAGAAGTTCCAGGTCACGGCCAGACACACAGCTAGGGTCGGTGACAGCTCGCTCACAAGGAGAGTTGCAGAACCTGGCAGCAGAGGAATGCGTGGAGACAGGTTCTAACGACGCATCTTCTCCAAAATGTGAGGAGAAAACCGGTGGATTGGAAGTAGGGAAGGAGACAGATCAAGGGAATCTGGGTGACCAGGATTTTAAATCTGACCCCGAAACGGATGCTAACATCCTGCAGCCATGTGACAAGAAGAGCTTCACAGCAGTAAAAATGCCGCCAGGTATTTGTGTGGGTTTGAGCAGAATGTTATCCCAGCGTTCTGCCGGGGGTCCTCCTAACTGTACGAGCAGTGTTCTGTTCCAGGTCAAAGCTGCTTTGACTTCTGAATCTGTCTCGTTCCGTTATCCAGCAGCACTTAACTTAATGCAGGTTTATTCACAGCTGGAACTTACTCTTCTGAGCCCTTTAGCTGTACAGTATAACGCAATAACGTCCCTTACCTTCACTGCACTAACCCTTGTGATGTTCTTGCACAGCTGGTTGGTTTGAGTCCTAAAAAAAGGCTGGTTTTGGCTTGTTTCACGTGCTAGAATCTTTCCTCAGACCGTGGCAAAGTAACCATTTAGCTTCTGAAACACAAAGGAGTACTGGAGTGAATCTGAAGCACATCTGTGTTCTGTACACCCGCAAGTGAGCCTGGTTTTTCCATCACAACGTAAGGTGGAAATGGTGTGTGAAACATGACAGCAAAATACTTGTACTTTTTTTCTTTTTAATGCTAAAGTATTACTTCTTTACAGAAGAGTCTATCCCACGAACACAAGTGGATAGGAGGAAAACGAGTCCGTATTTTTCAAGTAAATACAGTAAAGAAGGTATAATATTCTTTAGGGAAATAAATCCTTTTTTATGGGGGGAGGAATAGGATGGCTCATGACCAAGTGATGTTGTGGAAAATTTCCAGTTTTAGGCTGGCCGTGCTTAGGTGACATCAGAGAGCTCGGCTTACTGCGCTAGTGCTGATCTTGTCCCATTTTAAACCTCGGTGGTTTGTACCTTGCCAGCAACCATTAAGGCTGGTTACAAATGCCTCGACAGCTGTGAGGCGATGGGGTGAATGGGCTGTGGGGAAGTTCAATTCGGACCACTGAGGTGTTTCCCCTGTCAGGGGGAAACCCTGTACCCTGTGGCTGCTGCTCTTCACCTACACGGGAGCGTGGCGGTCCTGGGGAGGGCCTCTCTGCTCGGAAGACATGCGTGACGTGTAACACGGGGGCACACGCAGGCAGCCTTGACTCTTGCTGCTGTCTGTGCCGGGGGACGCACAGTCCCTTGCAGTTCTGTAAAATTTCTGTGTGGATTGCCGTTGCTCCCTCTACATACAATGCCTCTGCTTCAAAAGGCCTTTTTTTTTTTTTTTTTTTTAAATTATTTTAATTAAAATAGGTAAATCCATCCTTTACTGCCCAACAAATTTTCCTGCATTGCCTCTGTGTACAGCTCCCAGCCCACCTAGAAGGAAGGCCTTCAGAAAATGGACTCCGCCACGTTCTCCTTTTAATTTGGTCCAAGAAACACTTTTCCATGATCCATGGAAACTTCTCATTGCAACCATATTTCTCAATAAAACTTCAGGTAAATAGAGTAATACAATATCATGTGGTATAAGCGTTGGGGTGGTGTTACAGGGTCAGAACAACTGCCATTTTTTAAAGGCATTAATGAAAGAATAAATTTATATTAACTTGTGTCAGTGTAAAAAAAAAAACACTTGGTTTGTAACTCTTGCCTCAGAAAAAGCTCACTTCAAGAAGCATGCATCGATAATCAAACCAGAGAGTTACCCACGTGGTCTTTTGTCCTTGATTTCCTTCACCAGGTAAAATGGCAATTCCTGTGCTCTGGGAGTTCCTGAAGAAGTATCCTTCTCCTGAAATAACCAGGACTGCAGACTGGAAAGAAATGTCAGAGCTGCTCAAACCTCTTGGCCTCTACGAACTCAGAGCAAAAACCATCATCAAGTTCTCAGGTGGGTGTTCCGGAATGTGGAATGGTCTCAATTATATTAGCGAGGCAAACAGCGCTAGTTTCAAACAGCGCCCAGTGACTTTTCCTTCTGTTGGGTGGATATCGGTGGTTGTTTATTCTGTGCAGCTTTGGGATATGTTGGTCTTAACGTATGCAAAGCTGCTGGTCCTGTGGTCTTAACTGAGAATGAAATAACGTACCTAGTGAGTTCTGCAAGAGACCTTTGTCTGGGAGAGGACTTTGAGTGGAAAGAGGCACGAACACCTGCAAGACTGATTTAGGGGTTTGCAGCGCTATGTTAAGGTGGCTCTGCTCCATTTTGCACCGGGTGACCTCCAGAAGGGCCTTCCAGGCAGAATGTTTTGACGATTCTGGTATTTTCTATACTTGGAACAAAAGCATTCCTCTCTGGGTTCCGAGGAGAGAGATTCAATGAATTTGTTTAGGAGGTGTTTAAAATGCGCCCTGGAGGGATTCATTGCCTACTTTCACCAGGAAATAGCTAAAACTTGTGTTTTTCATTTAAAATGTTCCAAAGTGGAGATGTGTTACAACAGCAGAGAATCAGGATTTTGTCGGGAGTTCCTTTCTGCGACCTGCGGGCAGTGACGCCTGTGACCGTACGTTGCAGATGAGTACCTGAGCAAGCGGTGGAAGTACCCCATCGAGCTGCATGGGATCGGGAAGTATGGGAACGACTCCTACAGAATCTTCTGTGTGAACGAATGGAAGGAGGTGGGTGCTGCGGCCATGTTGCCAAGGCTGGGTCCACAGCACGCTGCCGGCAGCGGGGCTCTCTCCTTGGGCGTCGTTGGGCTTGTACCAACGGGCTGCCTCGGATTAAAAAAAAAAAAAGATAGCGATTTTTATATCATCAGTAGGTTGAATTCCCAGAACGTAGAAGTCTGAGCCTGTACACAAAGACTTGTGTCACCTTGATTTTATTTTTCTGTAATTTTCCAATTTCACTGTGTTCTTTTTTTGTATTTCCTTGATGTGGGGGTGAGAGTCTCTTCCCTGCTCTCTGCTTAAGAACTGGGGTCCCTGTGTTTCCTGCCAGCCAGAGGTCGGTGTCAGTGGGGCCTTTGCCATGTTGGGGCCCCCTCCTGGGGGGTGGCTGTGAGGGGCTGTTCCGCTCTCCAGTGTGGGTGAGCGGGTTCAGGGCTGACCAAGCGCAGGATCCCCTGCTTTGCAGGGGCGGAGGCCGGCCTGCCGGGGCACGGCGCCCCGCTGCTCCCTGCCCGGGGTGGGGGGCTCCTGAGCTGGGGGGGTGTACGTCCGAGCGGCGAGGTGGTGTGGAAGAAGGTGTCTGAGTAAATGTTAAGTGCTTTGCCTGTGTGTCAGGTGCAGCCACAGGACCACAAGTTAAACGTGTACCACGCGTGGCTCTGGGAGAACCGCGAGAGGCTGAGCATAGACTGAGCGA